GGGCTGGGCTGGGCTGGGCTGGAAGACAGGATTGAATGTTGCTGATTTGAACACGAAGAAGTTGACGTATGCCAGGAGAGCATTTCTGTTGTATTGCTTATCCCAGGTCGAGTATTCAGAAGATGGAGAACTTGTTCGTGCTGGAGAGGATGAGTACGAAAGGCATGAACAGGAAAAGAGGTTGAAGGAGTATGTAGAGACTAACCAAGTGAAGAACCTCATTAGGTTGATTCAAGTGTTCAATGTGATTCACCCATCTACCGCAGCCTGGATCAAGGATAGCAACGAGAGCCTGGAAGCCGAAGCTCAGAGTATTGGAATGATGGACAATGGCAAATGCACGAAGTTAGAAGTATTTACGGTAAGGGCAGTGCTGACGCTCGCAATGCCGTATGCTTTGCAAGTGATGAAAAGGATCCGTACAATGATCCTAGCCATATGGCGCACAGGAATGGTAAAGATCCACTCACGCTCCCAGAATAAAGTATTCCACCGTGAAACGTGCCCCATCACGTACAGGGCCCAGCCCGACGTGGTGAGTTCATCTACCTCGATGCCGACGAGGCACGGAATCAAGGATACCGTCCTTGCTATATTTGCTTTCCCGAAGCCAAAGCGAAGCGGAATTTGTGCCACAAGGCAAGAAGAGGAAGGAGCCGCCCAGAACCAGAAGAAGCCACTAGTGGAGAAGATGATTGGGAAGTGGCAGAAGTGACTGGAGAGGAATCTGAAGGACCTGTCTCAGTATGCTCCAGAATGTGTTATTGGTGTGGAAACCAACGGTGTGTTCGAATGAAAGTCAATCACCAGTGGTGTGCCTGTGAAGCATGTATCCAGAGCTGTGCCACGAATCGGTGGAAGGAGACCTACGATGTGAACGAGACTGAGAACGTGCATGAGTGGAACCCAAGTACCTCAGCAGAGCAGAGTGGAACCCCCACGGAAGGACGTAAAGGATCGTCGAAAGGAATGCGTCGGAGGACAAGTCGTGATGGATCAAGCTACGAATATATGCCACCATCAAGGTCGAGTCAAGCACTGCGACGCGGAATGACAGCTGGACCAATTGGGCAAGGAATGAATGCAAACAATGCACCCGGATCAAGTATGCCCAGAATTGATGAGGATGATTTCCATGCTGGAAGACGAGTTGTAGCAGGAGAAAGCGGAACAACTCCGGAGAGTACGTATGAGGACCAAACCTCGCAAGCAAGCAAGCAAGCAAGAACAAACAAGTAAATAGAAAAGCAAGGAATCATAAGAGCAAGGACTGCTTGAACGATCAATCCGCTCGTCGTATCCCATCAATGCAAATAATGCACTGGTCTGAGACATGCTTTACACAAAACGTAGTATCGGCACTTCTCCGATTGAACTGCTTCAAGGGGGCCTTGGTTAACGGCTGAGCTGTCCGAGTTGTTCGACCGGGGCATGCTGGAGCTTCTAGAGGACCATCTCTTTGCTTAGACGTTGTTTCTTGCAGCGACTTCGCACTCTCGCGGAAACATAAGGGAACAGGCCTCGTCCGAGCCGATCGGCAGCCACGCCTGTCCGGCACAGAAGGCTCAACAAAGGCCAATGTTCGCAGAGGCATGCCCCGTGCCTGTCCACGCGGACAGCTGCAAGAAAACATGTCGTCTTTCGCTGGTACCATGCCGTTGGGACAGTTCGAGCAATTGATGCCTGGGTGTAGCCGGGACGCGCAAGGACGCCAGATTGCAAGCAGCCATGATGGCACATCGCCCGCACTCAGCCCTACGCTAGCCTTACTGCACGTCTGTCTTCTTCTCTTTTCGCTCCGTGCCTCTCCCAGAGCCGGCGTTACACCGGCATAGGACTGATGGAGCAAAGACCTCAGCAGCCGCTCACAGAATGAGAGCCATTAGAGTCCTCTTGCGCAAGGCATAGGCTTTAGTGTCTAGATGCAATCAGTGGGCCTACTGGGTTCAAAGTTCAGGGACATGACGGTTCGGGCGTCTCCCCACAGATCCTGAAGTCTTCAGACAACGGACTTCCGGATCCAAGCTCACGCGTGTCTGGTCGCCCAGGGGCTGCGGTCCGTGGCATCTCCATGCCTGCCGTGGTCTCCGGCTACGGCGCATGAAATTGTAGCTAGCAAGAGTTTCCGAGTCAACAAAGGGTATGTGCAAGAAGCGAGATTTTGCAACGCCTTGCTGGAACGCGTTGCGCTCTTCGTCATCTGCTGCCAAGTGTTGTTGAACAAGTCCTCGGGATCTGGTACTTAGCATTTGCTGCGCAAGCAACACGAAAATTCCTTCAAGAGGCTGCTCAACAGGGCACAATTACTTTGCATGTCGGGGCAGCTCCCCACAGACCTGGTGAAGCAGCTGGACCGAATAGTGACTTAGACGTTCTGCTAGGGTTTCTTGTGTGGATTCCAAGTCTGTGGGGCATACTTGCCTCCCTTTCACCACCCCCGTCCTCCGGCATGGAATACCCTGTGCTTCGGATATCCAAAACCAAAGGCTCCTGAAAGTATCTGGTGTCAATGCCCTTCAACGGGTTGTGGCTCACGTCCAAGAAGAATTGCAGTGGCCGCCCCTCAAGGCCCGTGATATCGTTGTGACTTAGTCTCAGCTCTCTTAATGGAAAATGTTGGTAAACCCTTGTGCCCATGAGTTCTCCACGTAGCTGGCAATGTGTAGCCGCGACAATGGCCAGCATGTCATTGTGTCTCAGAGGCAACAGGAAATCCTTCACGGTGATATTGAGGGGACAATAGCTGATTTCCAGGATGCGCAATTTGGGGAATGGCTTCGGGCTGTCATGAGCCGATGGCTCAGTCACATGGAAAGTGATGCTTGTACCGTTGATGTTCAACTCTCTCAAGTATTGACCTTCGTACTTCCATGCATCATTGATTGAGCCTGTGATTTTTGTGTTTGCAGCATCCAAGTACCAGAGGTTCTTGTTCCTCTCGATCAGCACCTGGATGTCCCCTTCGACACGAGTGTTCTGGAGCCAAAGCCCTTGTAGCGAGGACGAGGTAACTGTGTCGCTTGACACATCGCCGGTCACATTAGTGTCTCGTAGATCAAGAAACTTCAGCTTCTCCCAGTTCACGTCTCTGAGGGAACCATGCACCCGCTTTCCTGAGAGCTTCAAGGCCACGAACGTGTAGGAACTAAGCTGGCTTAGGTCGACATCCACATTGCACTGCCGCATTTGCAGTCGCTCGAGCCGCTGCAGCTGTGAGCTTTCAAGGTCGATCATGTTGCCGGTAATGTTGGAGTCATCCAAGTAAAGGGCATTGACTCCGGAGAGCTTTGACAGCGCACAGGAAAGATGGTGGAGCCGGGCTGTGGCAGACTTTACCTGGATGCCTATGGAAGCAACGGAGCCTCCCTGACACGTCACATCAAAGCCATTTCCCAAGGGAATTCTTATCCCTTCTTCCGGTGGGCATCCTTGCGATGCGCTCGTCAACTCGGTCCTGTTTTCGTCCGGCCAGAAGGATGTCAAATATGTAATGGCCTGTCGTGGCAGAAAGCGTACGGCTGGCGGCTTGAGGTTTGCCGATTGGGGTCCGAAAGGTGAAGTGATCTGCTTGTTTGATTTCTTTGTTAGTCTGTGTCTCTGCCCCGTTCAACAGGCCTCCCACTCTGTCCAGCCGTCGAAGCCCGGTCCCTGTCCGCAATTGTCAACCTGCACTCTGGGTCACGCGCCAGTGGGCATTGACCACGGGAGGAGGTTCGGGCAAGACCCTGCGTTCTGTGAACCCAGAGTTCCGTCCATGCAAGACCCGAACAGGCAAAACATCTCACGCTCCCGACTCGGAGGCCTGCGATGGAAATTCAAACGAAAAAAATAGAGCTCGACATAAGGCCCTTCAGGCAAGGTAGGGAGCAAACAGCCCGGCCGCTTCCCGTAAAACCAAGCCAACGACTCCACTCCTCGAGCCCCGGGCCTTCAGATGGTGAGCTTCCTGCGGCCGGTAGGTCCACGTAAGCCGCAAAGAGAGCGCCAGTGCCACCCAAGACACAGCCCGCATGAGCGCTTACATACTTCGTTCCTCTTGTCGCGGCTTACAACCGGATCGGTTATGGTGGCTCCCGAAACTAAAGTTCCGAACCGAGAGCCACTATGCAACAGATATGCCCCAGAATAGAACTGATTAGAAGGTCGCCGGGGGAGGCTGCAGAGCCAGCTCCCCTGGCTAGTTTACAGACAACTAACACGAAGAGCCCAAGGCTGGAGCCGAGAGGGCCGACGTTCCGCAACTAAACCCACAGCCCTAAGCTTTCCGGATTTTCAGTCAGACCGAAGCTGAGGGCATTGCAGCCTTCTGAACACCGAGACCTCCGCTGGCCTAAGCCGGGGCGAGCACCACAAGCAGGTTTAGTTTATGTATTTGAACTTCGACTAAGCCATGCTTGCACTTACAACCTGTTCTCAGGAATTCGGGCTCTGACATGCCATGAATGGGAGACTTGTCGATCTATCCTTCCGCATGTACTTCCGAGCTCGGCTCCAGTTGGCCAGAAGCGTACATGCAACAAGCCCGAGTAGCAAACAGGTTAGCTTCTAATAATTCTAATATCTCGAAGGTTTGGGGTTGAAGCTCGTGCGGGCTCCACAATTTGTAATGTCGTACGAAGCACGTGCGGAGCCAGTCGAGAAACTAAAGCGTGAAAGTTGAGTGAGAACAAAAGCGAGCAGAGTTAAAACAGTGAGTCCAGGCCCCAACATTGCCACATCTTTTTTGAATGGCCACTCCGTCCCGCCCAGACACGCACCCCATTTGCAAGTGCTGCACATACCATAATAACCGTGTTGTGGAAATGTGCCATCAGAGCCAATCGGGTGCCGTGAGCATACTGTGCCAACGTGCATTCCCAAACTGTACCACACTAAAAGGCACGCCCCGAATTTTCGTCGAAAGGGCTGCAGATGAACGAACCATCATGTTATGCGCACCGCGTGTTGCTCCGCACACGGTGCTGCTATCGCATGCAACGTTGCTGTCGGACGGAGTCGGTTTAGGTCAAACAGTCTAACATGCCCCCTCGTTCTGATCATCCCTCGGATGGTTAAGACTGAAAGTTTTCACCTACCCAGATGTGGGAAACTTGTCCTTACAGTTGGTACCCGGTCATCAGAATACTGGGGAGGCCACCCCCCGCG